ATAAAACAAAATTTTTCCAGCTTCCTACACTTAAGTGGGCCACCAGGAGCCCAATTCAAGTACCTGGGTGGGAAACTGATGAGTCTGTATGTCATGCTTATGTCCTCCCTTCCAGTTGTTTTTCCAGTTGCTTGGCATTCTGCTCTTTCATTATGCTTCTCAAGTATTGTCCTGTGCTAAACAGAACTTGCTTTCTCCTTCAGGTAGCTTGGGGCAAATGTAAGGAACTGATAGTGAATGCTTTCATAGCCTGTATTTAGCTAGTCCACAACTAGTAGATGTCCTAAGCAAATAAAGCAAATTGCGTGTGACCTTGCAACAGGTGGAGGAGGAACCTGAAGAGCCTGAAGATGCAGCTGAGGAGGCAGAGCAAGATGAAGAGGAGGTGGATGCTGATGCTGAAGATAGTGAAACACAGAAGGTAAGGTCTCAAGTTTGCCTCTTTCTTAACAATATTTATGTGCAGTTTTGTCTGCGGTGCTTCCTAGCAACAAACTTGTTGACTTTTGCTTTCATGGCACTAGTTTTTAGTGTGAGGTTTTCCAGTCTTTTCTTGGAGGGAGGAAAAAACTGCAGCACAAATGATACTTCATTCCTTATCAAACTATATTGCAAGAAGAAAAAACTTAGATATATTCAAAATGGGAGCTAAATTAAGCTTAAGAGATTGCAACAGTACCCTATAGCAAGAAAACACCAGCAAATCCTCTGCGGTCAGCTAAATGTTATCTGTTGGATTTCCACAGCTTGTTCGCAATAACAAATAATGGGCAAGAAGATAGTTTCAAATGCTTACAATACAGACTCACAACACCACTACCTGTAAACAGTTCTGCTGTTACATGAAGTCAGCCTTCACTTAGCTAATGCCTGCAGTTTTAATGATGTCTTGATGAATACTTGGGTTCACCTCTTCTGAGACAGCTCTTGTAACTTTTTCCACTTTGAAAAAAGCAACGCTCATTCTCTGTTTGTCTCCACAGGAATCCACAGATGTGAAAGATGAACTGTAAGCTGCACTCAACTACCGTCCTGCACTGGGGGGTTAGGAGGGAATGTGAATTAGATTGTTTTGTTTTTTTTCCACTGTACAATGTTGAGGGATGGTATGGGGTTTAAGGGTAAAGGAGGATTTTTTTTTAAGTTGACTTTTCTAAAAACATTCCTCATGAATGTAAATTTGTATTATTTAACTGACTTGGTGTAAAATCTTGTCATGTACAAAATAAAATGTTCCCAAACACCACTAACTCTAGATTTTACATAGTAAGCTTATCTTGTTGGCTAGCACAAAGAAAAGAAGGGATTGTATCGAGCGTTCAGGTCCTTTGTACAGCAGGCCCTTTGCGGTCCTCATGCTTTGCCACACTGGCAAAGCCACACTTAACTGTGTAGTGTACGTCTATGGCTGGGGTTTGCGTTGACAAACCTGCTGGGCTGTTTAGCCAAAATGTACCTGGTATCTAAGAGCTGTACTGAACTTGCCAGTCAAAATAAGCATTCAAGAAGTTATGTATTTACTGACATCCCAAGAAAGATGAGATAGGGCATTTAAAAATAGCATTGGAACTGAAGTCCTGCCAGCTTGCACTGAACTACATGTGACTTGGCTCCACTGTACAGAAGAGGCTGCAGCTTTTACAGCCAAGATAACACAAAAAATAAAAATCTCCTTTCACTAAAGGTGTGAACCACAGCAAACAAGTGGCTCACTACCTCTGAGCTTATACTATCCTCCATGGTATTTGGTAACCCTGCCTTTAACTGGTGTATCTTTCCCAACAGTTACAGCAGTCCTGCTTTCTACAATTTTCTAAGGATGGAAGCTCTTGTCTGTTACAGTTACTCCAGTTACTCCTTAAGGCTGCTGTTCTTAAACTTTTTCACTCTTTAGTATGGCAAAGCACTGTAAATACTTAATTGAACTCAAGCTAAATCTGCTGACACCAAACTGTAGCATAGACAGGTTGAACTGGAGGTGCCAATTTCTCTTTTATTCATTTATATGAGCTTTATGTGGTGTTTAGGTGAAGCACTTAAATTTTCTCACTAGTGCCTCTACTTTGAAATACCTTCGTGGAGTTGATAGAAAGTGTTTACATTAAAGGGTGTTTTTGCCGCCTTCTGTGGAAGAAGTACATAGGAGTAGTACTTCTATACAGTGACTCTACTTAAGAACCACTATTCTGTTTTGTTAACAGAATTTTTTGTGAAATTTGAGGTTCTGCAATCTGATGTGAAATAAACTCTAATTAGGTGGAAGTGTTAAACACTGACCTGAAGAACTTGCTTTCCGTTTACTTTTATGAGGTGGCTTCTATATTGCCCAAATACTTTACATGCAATAAATACAAATGCCATGTATCACTGTGGTTATTGAGTTAGGGTTTACACAATGTGTTAGCTTTACATGTGTTGAGGTATGCTGTTTGAGACTTCAAGGAATAGGAGCTTAGTTTTGTAGGTTTTTTGAGGGTGTTGGGGTTGTTTTGGCTTTTACTCACTGTAGTAGTATCTTAGATGCACCATAAGAGCCTTTTGTTATTAGAGCATGCTGGGTGCTTTAACCCTTGAGTAGGTCAGTGGCCAGCAGTATCAGCTTAAATTGCGGTCCTTTGTTGGTAAGTTACTGAGTAGGGGAGGTGCACCATTTCTGCTTAAGGCATGGTCTTCTCACTATGGCAGTGCAACTGTTGTGCTCTATAGCAATCAACTGCTGCTGAGGTTTTAATACTTCCTAAACTATCACCTCTAGTGCATACATGCCCCTCTACATCTGTTTGACCTGCCTGAGTAGCAAAGGTGGCTCATGCCTACTGTATGGTTGAGTGCTTTTGCAGCAAACAATCCCAAGAGGAGTATTGGAAGTGTAGGGTTGCTTGCTACAGTATTCGTAATCTGTTAATTACTTGTAGACTTAAGCAACCTTTGTTCTGTTACATAGCTGGAGTTCTCAATGCCTTGATTGGTTTTAGGATGACATACCTGATTTAATTTCAGTAATAATAAAGAGCACACTTGAGAGTCACGCTTTGTGCTTCTTCATCTTCCTCAGCTGGGGGTATCGTGCAGCATAGCTGTGGTCCAGCTGCTTTCTCTACCCTGGAGTGACAAGTGTTTGCTATTAATAAGCACAAAATGCAGTTGTAGGTGTGGTGGGGTTTTTTTTGGGGGGGTAGGGGTGTCAGCTCTGTGAAGTAAAAGAGTGAATGTTGGAAGAAGCATCTCCCAGTCACAGGCTATTTTTTTTTCAGTGCTGCAGTCACACTGACTGGGGGTGACGTCAGCTTTGCTGTTCCTAGGTGGGCACTAATCAGAATGGGTTCCCTCTGCTCTAACAGGCTGGGGTAAAACAAATGCTCCCTGTTTCTCAATTTCTATTAGTAGCAGGATACATTTAGAAAACCAATCCAAATTAGTAACTTCCCTCTGCAGCCTTTAGGTCTGAAAAGCCTTTAGAAAACAGGGAGAAATGCATCTTTCATGTCAGAAATCAACTATAATGACAGAAGTGGTACTCTGACAAAGCTTGAGTAAGAGGGTAAAGGTTGATGAATCCTGGCTCTTTAAAGGGATAACTAAAAAACTACTGTTCCTGCCCTAGTCGGAACAGGAACAATACTGCTGAACTGCGCCATCTTGTCTCTTCAATAAACTTTATCTTATGCTGAGGCAAAGGTTGTCAATCTTGGCTTTCTTTAGGTACAGTGAAGGAAAAAGTAGTTTCACCAGAACTTCGGCTGCTTTCCTAGATCAGCCAATAGTTGCAAAGTTGTGTGAGAGCACAGGGACATACAGGAGCAGAGGATCTATAAACCTTTCTTCCTAGGAAAACCACTCCAACTTACACAAACATAAATAACAGCTTCACAGCTAAAACAGATGTAAAAGTAGCACTTCCAGTGATAATTTCTGGACCCTTCTGCTATTACGAGAGCTCCAAGTACTTTGCCAGTAGGAATTAGGGGAGCTTTCTGTTTCCTTAATGGGTAATCGGTCAGACTGCAGTCTTCTTTCCCGAGTTAAACCTGAGTGAGAATTGAGGATGAAGCCTGTGCCTTGCCTTGCTACCTTTCTCGAGGGAAAGCAATCCCCAATGTTCACAAGCTCTGTTGCATACCATTCAAAAATGGGTTGTTGTACCATCTTTGTAGGACATTTACTTAGTGTATCTTCAGTTTTGTGGTGATCCTATTTCTGGACTGAAAAGTAAACCTGCACTTGTTATTTCAGAGTTCTGTATGTCTACAGCTATCAAAAGTAGCTGTGAACAGAAGATGATACCCACATAGATTATAAACATAGGTAATTTCAGTATAATCTGTATGTATTTGCCCCATTTTAACTAATACAACCAAGTTGTAAGATCCTTTCCAGCCTTACAGTGGACCAAAGTCAATTTCCCGTCAGGAATACAAACAGAAAGCCAACATAACTGCTGCTACAGCAGTTAGCCAGCATTAGAAGGAGTCCATGTAACAAGTCCTGCAAGAAGGAATCTTTCTAAGGAATTTCTAAGTGCCACCACTTTATCCCGTTCTGTGTTATGTCCAGTAACACTGAGTTAAAATTTAAAAAGGGGGGAAATGGCAACGGGTAAGCGAGGCTCTACTAGAGATAAACACATAAGCTTATTAAGGCTAATGCGTGGCCTGAAAAGCTCAACTTTTCAATATGCTAAACTTCCTGTACTTGTTAATGAGCTTCAAAGTTTCAAATTCCATCAGACTCACCAATGTGAGTTCACATCTTTTATTCTGAAGGATACTTGCACTGCAATCAAGATTAAGAAATCATAAGCATTTTGGCACACAACCGACTGAACTTTTAACATTATTCATCGTACATTCATTTTTAATGCTGCCTTTAAGTCTGCTTAAAGGAAACAACAACAAAAAAGTATCCATGGAGTACAGTATTTCACATATGGATTTCTGCAGTTGAGACAGCTGAACAAGTATTGTATTAGTTCTAGTTTTCACAATGTAAGTAAATTCTGGTCACTGTTGTGAAGTTTGAACTTTGCTTGATCTTGCTTTTAGACCCAACAGTTCTGTTTTCAGTTCTCCAGGCTTAGGAGGTACTTCAGGTATACTCTGTTAAAAATGGAGAAAGACGTCAGTGTTGTGGCAAAAGAAAAACTAAACTCAAAACAGTAAATTAGCGTACTCTGTAAGAAAAAGCATTATAGCTAAATTGTGATTATACTGCCCTCTTTTTTAGCATTGTGTTAAATGTTAAATTGTGATTATACTGCCCTCTTTTTTGAGCAGAGTATAATTCTTACACACAAAACATTTTAAAAATTAACCTATTACCTTTTTTGTAATTTGACTTTCATTTTAAAGTAGCAAAATATGATTTAAAAAAGAAAGAAGGAAAAAGGAAGAACGGACAGTTTGTTTCAAAGTAACAACACTTCTTTTTGCCATTTAAGAAATTAAGTTTGGTTGAGATGTCTAGTACAGCTGAAGTTTCCAAACATATTCCTTCTCTTGGTGACAGAAGAAAAATTTCACTGCTTCTACCCTTCTGTTTTAGAAATTAAGTACTGAAACTGGAAATGAAATTTAAAAAGGGATACCAGATGACATGACGTTTTAAAAAACATACCTCCTCAAAATTTGTGCTAAATAGGTGTAGATCATTAGATCATTCTGAGTACATATACCTATTTCCCTGCAATGAAGGCTACAGTAGAAACTTAAAATACATGAATTCTTATGCATCTATCAATGATTTAAGCCTCCCTGCTTAAATTTTGACATGACAGCTCAAGCATGGGTATTTTTTAACTTATTTCTAATTTTCATACAGCATGTTTAAAAAAACAAAAAGTATACAAGGGAAGGGGAATGAAATAAAGCTTACAAATTGGAAGGCCTCCGAAAAACCAAATCAACCATTAATATCCCTGGTGGATGCTCTCATTTGAAGTTCGGATCTCTGTGACTGTAATTTAGACAGTCTTGACTCTCAGCCTGTCATTGTTCCTAATGTAAACTTTTGGTCATCTTCATTCCCATTCCTGAGGAGGGGGAAAGTCTATTTAAATTTAATATAGCGCCTTCTTGCCACTTTTGCACATTCTTTTCAAAATAAACAGCTTCCGACAGTAAAAACCCCTTGTGAAGAAGTCTGCACAGCTCGCTCATTTTCGGTGCCACGCCGTGGGTTTGAAGGCAGCTCCCGAGAGTCGACCTGCCTCCCTGGGCCGCTGCTTCCTCAGAGCCTCGTCATTT